GGGTCTATAGGGAAAGGCCTGTAGCATCTGACTCCTGGGTGCTTGGTGGCAGGATCAGTAGCACAAAGCTGGGCACAGAGAAGTCACTCACACAGACAGCAAGGATGGAAATGTACAGAGGGTTGAAGTGCTCCACTCTGTAATGGGAAGGTATGATCCTCAACAGTGGCAAAATGTTAATTTCCTTAAGTCTTAAATCTTGCCCTGATATGGTATAGATTTTTCTCTGCAACAATTTCACATTTTCAGCTCTTGCATTCTGTAGCACCACATGGGAGACTATGTTACTCAAAAGAAGAAAAAATTTTCCGTGATGCATGTTTTGTCTTCATTTCTGAGACTAGTCTTAGTTGCAGAAAGGCAGATAATCCACGTGCAGCATGATTAGGGAAGGAAGAAGGAAGAAAGGGAGGGAGGGAGGGAGGGAGGGAGGGAGGGAGAGAAAAAAACATTCAAAACTTTCATCTTTAAAATCTTTGAGCCTCTCCAAGAAAAGGATTTAGTTATGAGTCTGATATATGTAGCTGGTATTTCTAGCAACTAGTGTGGGCTTCTTTTTTTTGCTGCAGTCTTTTCATTCTGTTCATCTTACCACAAATTCCTGCAAGAGGAAACACAGCCTCCTTAGGAGGCTAAAGTCCAATGAATGTCAAATCCTGAACAGCATTACATTGTGTCTCTATTTAACGTTAGAGCGGATGGCTTTTTGACACGTTTATAGCTGATGAGTTCTATAGCCAGTCATGCAGGACAATTATGTTTGAGCTAATTCGATGAATCAACTTGATGTTCTCCCATAGCCCCTGTGGCCTTCAGGAGCATATGTGCCCAATTTTTGACTGGAAGTCAAAAAGCAGCTTTGAAATTTGGCTAATCCCATCATATCCGCAGGACCCGTCTGGTGGAATAATCTTTGGACATAAACTTCTTGACTGATGCCAAAAATGGGAAGAACCACTTGGTAATATCATCAGGGCCATCGGTCAGGCCCTTGGTAGGTCTTAAGATAGGGCTTCAGAGGCCAGCGATTGTTTTGTGAGCTCTCGAATAATTTTGTGGTGAGGGAAGCAGAGTTCATTGTCAAAGCATTTGGGGGTCAGACCCTGGGGAAAAATCATTTCTCATTGTTGGATTCGGTTTGATGGGGATTTGTGAGAACTGATGAGGAGGCGTAAAGATTTCCTGAGTTACTTTCCCCCACGTCCTGATTATTTTTTTTCCGACTTCTTGCTTGCCAGGAGGCCTGCTAGTGTAGTCGTTCAGAGCATGAGCGTGGGAGTAAGAATGCCGGGACATAAATCCTGCCCTTACCACACGCCCATCCTTGCACAATACCAGGCCAGTCACTTCGCTTCTCTGCAACTCGCCTTGCTCTGTGAAATGCGGATAATAATCCTTCATACCCATGCGGCTCTACTGGAATTACAAATAACAGTACATACAAAGGGCCATCAACAGTGCCTGATGTATGGTAAACTTTCAGATATTAGAAGCTATTAGCTGTAGACTGGTGAACGCTGGTAACTTTCCATGCCCAGAAACGTAAAGGATTTGATTAATCCAAACCAATTAGTAAATAGATGCTGTGATTTGAATTCACAGCTGGTATTATTTTTTCCCCAAAATCATTAGCAAAAACACTATTGTGCCATCACATAGTAAAACTGATTTCTGCTCTCCAGAGTGGTCTTTCTTTCTTTCTTTCTTTTTTTTTTTTTTTTTTTTTTTGAAACAGTGTAGTCCTTTTTTATAGCTGAGAGTTACAAATATGTGAAACCGACTAAAAGCAGGTGGCTTGCAGCATCATAAACTGGGTTGGCTGGGTCTTTCATGTATTCGTTCCACCCGTATTTATCGGATTTTTCCTACTGCATGCCAGTGTCAATGCATGACATGAAATGAGTAGAATGTTTTGGAGAAAGGCAAACGTAAGTTCTACCAGTGACTACCTATGTGAGTAAGTCACTTAATCACTCTGGGCCATACTATCTTCATCATTAAATTGAAATAAGCATGATCTGCCTTCTAATGTCTCCTGCAAGGAGCAGATGGGTTTGTGCCAAGGGCCTGGGTCAGTGGTTGGCACATAGAAAGTACTTAACAATTACTGTTTTTATGCCAGGAATTTCTTTTAGTATCCCTCTGCTTTAATCAAAAGCTTTTCTTTCTTTCTTTCTTTCTTTGTTTTTTTAAATTTGTGATAGAGTCTTGCTCTGTCTCCCGGGCTGGAGTGCAGTGGTGTGATCTCAGCCCACTGCAACCTCCGCCTCCCTGGTTCAAGTGATTCTCTTGCCTCAACCTCCCAAGGAACTGGGACTACAAGCATGCACCACCATGCCTGGATAATTTTTGTATTTTTAGTGGAGACAGGATTTCACCATGTTGGCCAGGTTAGTCTCGAACTCCTGACCTCAGGTGATCTGCCTACCTCGGCCTCCTAAAGTGCTGGGATTATAGGCGTGAGCCACCACACCCAGCCAAAAGCCACTTTTTAAATATTTAGAAGATTGTGGCAGCCTTACAGACTCAGATATGTGGAGAGTGTAGCACGGGACATAGGACATACTATATTCTCAATAAATACTTCTCGAATAGATCAATGAGTGAATGACTAGCTTGAGCTTATTTTACATTAATAAGACGCTGTTTGCTAGTAAATCAACAGTGGGAAACAGTGGATAGAGACTTGTGGGAGCGTGGACTTTGAAGTCAGACAGAATTGGGTGCAAATCAGGCTTGGAAACACTAGCTGGGTACCCCTTGGACAAGTTACTTAATTTCTCTGAGGCTCAGTTTTCTCCTTTACAAGTGGATTGTGATAACAGCTGTGTTAAAGAGGTGTTGCTTTCTAACTGGTTGATATATATTATCAATAGCTTTTATTATAGTGTGGCAAAATAAGGTGTCTGCCCCATAGAGATACTGAAAATCTACTCGCTGGGCATCTAGTTTGTACCAGGCACTGGGTACTGGGAATAAAGAGTCAACAAGACAGACAAGATCCCTGACTTCATGGAGACAACAAAATGGTGGGCAGCCTGGACAATAACTGTAGATAACCGTGATGATTTTTAGGTGAGAATTTCCAGGAATATAAAATAGAATAATGTGTTTGTGATTGGGAAGGTTATTTTACCACAGTAGTCAAGAAAAGCTCCTTTGAGGAAGGAACGTGAAAACAGTTACCAAGGAGAGGAAGGACCCAAGCACGCCAGGACTTGAGGACCAGGGCTTCCAGGTTGATGAAACAGTAAGGGCAAAAGCCCTGAGGCAGAAACGTTTGCTCCAGAGTTCTTTTCACACCATGAACAAGGAAGAGAGTGGCCCATGGTGAAGTCCAAGACCCTCAAGAGTCCACTCCTGTAGGATCTTACTGGTCAGGATAAAATATTTGAGTTTTATTCTGAGTGTGATGGAAACAGTTGGCAGGGTTTTCACAGCTGGGTGGCAGAGTCTCGCTTCCATTTCAAGGTGAATTATTCCAGCAGCTGTGAAGGAGATCGGGGTAACAGGGAGGCAAGCAAGGAGACGCCTGTCCAGAAAGAGATAATTATCATTGGAATGAAAGGGATGGCTACAGTGAGGGAGGCATGAATGACTTAGGACGTGGTTTGCAGACAGCACCACAGGATGTAGGTAGAGGAGAGGCAGAGAGAAGGCACCTGGCCTCTGTCGGCCCACGCGACTACAAGCCTTGAGGTCTCAAGTTACATTTCTTATTCTCTGGTTGCTTCTCCACTCTCCTCTGTGATTTGCTGCTGGGTGTCCTGATCTCCACAGTGATGAGTCCTCTTTTCTCCTGTGAGACTGAGCTGGCCATCAGGAACTTCGCCTCTGGCTCCCAGTAGATGTGAAATCAGCAGTGGTTTGAGGGAAAAGGACAACCCAGCAGAGACTGATTTCTGGAATGAGGTTTTTTTGTTGTTGTTTTTCAATTCAATATTTGCATGGGCCCACTTAGGATCATAAAAGATTTTAAAGAAACTTGTTATAAAAACTCAAGAGGAAATTAAAGGCAAACCAATACACACAAGTTACAAGATATGAATCAAGGAATATAGTGGATATTTATTGTGGTATATTAATTAAAATATTATTTCCCTGTAGGAATATAACAAGATGCCAGGATCTATTGATTTATTTATTCAACTTGAATTTGCTATACATGTTGCTCCAAGCTGGATATGGGGGAAGGGAGGCAGACAACAGTTCCTACTCTCAGGGAGCTTTCAGTTTAATGAGGAAGACAGGTATCAAAGAATCTCTATAAAAGAAGGCAGAATTCATTGGTTTCATAGCAGAGAGTAGCTATTTATGTAACAGCAAAGTATAGCTGACAGACACATTAGGATCACTTTTATACTACAAAGATTAGAAGTGCACATCAAACCATTAGTATCAGATAGATATTCCTGACTTAAGACCTATTCATAAGTATATATTTTTATACATATTTGTTAGTATACCAGTGATTAAGTAAATATATATACATTATTCACTTACACATAAAATATGTTTATTGGTCTTTAGGAAAGACATTTCACAAATAATCCTTCAATGCCATATTACCAAGTAAAATTTTCCTCCAGCTCAATGAATAATTCCACTTCGTGGCCATAGAAAAAGGTTGATTATGCTATTGTGTGCAGAGAAACAAATGAAGTAAAAATTTATGATGTATCCACTTAATTTGGCCCACATGTACTCAGGATTTCATATGAGGTTTGAGAGTTATTGCTGCTCTACTGAAATGATTCTATTCTCTTATCTTGCCTTTTCTTTCCTCAATATGATGAACATTAATTAAGCATCTGCTTTGTGCAAGACACTGTGATCAGAATAAGCAAGTCATGTTCCGTGATGTTTAAAAGTTATAAAAATAACTTTCACTATTCATATTATAACAGGAAATTTACATTTTTAATGTAACTTTAGTCATGTGTATGTATATGCACCTGTACATACACACACATGCAGTACGCATATTAGATAGAAATAGGAAGAAATGCATGTACATCCACATGCATATACACATATATATTAGAAGGAAATACACATATATATTAGAAATACACATATATTAGAAAGAAAGAATTAGAAATAAAAGAAGTTTTAAAAAGTAAAAGTGTGTTCTACATTTTGTTATGTATAGCATATATAATACAGAGAAGTTAGGTTTATTGCATTATACATTATATACTACATATGATATTTTTGCATGTATTTATAGTATGTATGTAATATGTACATAATATTACATGTATATATTATATATGTATTTATAATATGTATATTATGTAAGTATATGGTATATATTACATAAAGTATATATTATGTATATTAAGAGCAGGTAACAATACATATTCATATATAACAAACATTATTTCACATAGACTTTGTATTATATATGTGTAGATAGGCATCTTTTTAATGGAATCATATTGCTTATATTTGCAGTAGTTAGTTTCATGAATATCATTTTAGTCATTAAATATTCCTTTACATTTAAATAGCTGTGAAATAGTCCACTGTTTAAGTTTATAGTACTATATTTAATTATAATATTAGTGTATTGTATTAATATAATCCTCCTAATGTTGCATTTATCTTTTTTCCCTGATAATTTCTGTTGTGAGGAACACCCTGTTAGTCAAATAAGATTCTTTCCCTATGATGAATTTTCAGACACCACCTCCGAGGTTGGGGCTTCCTGATGATTGCCAGTGTCACCCTTGCTGGGTCACTCAGGCATGGGTCAGTGAGAGCTCAGGAAGCAGAGGCAGAAAGGGCTCCGTGTTTCCTATAACTAAGCCAGATTATTCTGCACACACACAAAAAATCTTTTGTAGGAAAGTGAAATCCCTAAGTCAAATTGTTGCTTATAAACAGAAATTCTGGTTAGTATTTCAAAGTTTTCTTAGTATTTTCTCCTGCAACTTAAAAGACTTAAAAAAGTAAAAAGACATAGATCTAAGACTCCAAATAAAAATACATTTTCTTTGAAACTAAATAGCTCTTAAGTAAGAGAAAATCCTTTAGATCTTCAAATCATCCCTTAAGCAAAATATTCTCCAATTAAGTATTTCTACGTTTTCATCTATATTCTTCCCAGGCTTCGGGCTGTGAATCAGACCTATTTTTAGGGATAAGTTTCTAGGGGTCATAGAAGATACAGATTGTGACCTGCTTCATGTCAAGAGGTTGCGTGGCTGATTTGTCCAGTTGTGAATTCTAGGAATGAAGCTTTCTTGCTAAAATAAAACGATATTCCCCTCTGACTGCTGTGAGCGCCAGGAGACTTGTGATGGGCGTGCCTGGGTGCTGGCACAGAGCCGTGGGCTTGGGCCATCCGCTTACGACAGGTCTTGCCTGTGTGCATCTGGCCCACCCTCTCTCCACGCGCAGCTTCATGAGATGTACAGGGACCTGCGTGCAGAGCAGAGTGAGTCTGCAAGGGCAGAGTGCATGGCCCTGCATGGTTGGGTCTCCACGTGAGCCCGGGAAAATCTGTTTGTTGCTCATGCTCGTATTCTCTGTGCTGACAAGCTCCAAGCTTGGACAGCTGCTTAGTGTACACAGCATCACCTTCGGGGAGGGAATGACAGCCTGCCCAGCCTGACCCGGCGTAAAAGAAACTGCCCAGAATTTGAAAGCCACACTTGAAACCTGCTTGATGCTTAAAGGTCGTTTCTGGTCCTCTCCGCTTATAAGCCTTTGGGTTTGAGAAGCAGAAGCTGAATATCCAGCTGACTTCCACCTTAGAGGAAGATTGGGTTTCTTGCTGGAGAAGAGTGGAGGGTTGCTGTGTACTACATGTCTACTCCTACCAAGCACCGTGCGAGGCATGATGAATGCCTTTCTTGCTGAATCCTCTTCTCACCAAGGGTATTCATCATCTCCATTTCACAGGAGAAATGGATCTGAAAGTGACGGCATAATGGCTGCCTTTTCTTAGAGAAAATCCCCAACCCTGGCCTCTCCTTGAGGTGCCTCACCACCCTCTCATTCTGTCTACTTCTTTCACTTTGTCCCTGTCCAGCCCTCCTTCCTTCCTCTGGCTGCACTGACCGCTTTTTTTTTTTTTTTTTTGAGACTGAGTCTCACCCTGTCACCCAGGCTGGAGTACGGTGGCACAATCTCGGCTCACTCCAATCTCCACCTCCCGGGTTTAAGTCATGCTCCTGCCTCAGCCTCCCAAGTAGCTGAGACTACAGGTGCACACCACCACACCTGGCTAATTTTGTATTTTCAGTAGAGATGGGGTTTCACCATGTTAGCCAGGATGGTCTCGATCTCTTGACCTTGTTATGATCTGCCTGCCTCGGCCTCCCAAAGTGTGGGGATTACAGGCGTGAGCCCCGCACCCCACCTCATCGACCGCTTTTTAACACATGTTGTTTAACACACATTTAATCTGCCTGTACCAGGTGTGAATAAAACAGCATCCAGAGAGATAAAAGTACTGGCTGTTGTTATTGAGAAATATTTATGTAGACAAATATATTTGTTAGAAAAGGTATCCTAACAAAGCTCTGCCCTGTCCCAGGGCCTTTGCACTTTTCATTCCTGCTATGTAGAACCCTCCTCTTTCTTCTTGGTCTACACATGGAGGGATGTGCTTTCTCACCATCTTGGTGACTTCACCCACCTTGGACCCTACCCCGATCATCTGGTTAAAAATAACCCCTGTTCCCAGCCATCCTTGATAACCCCAGAGAACTTTCCACACTCTTCTTGTTCTTTTATGTGACTACATGAATATTTAACATGAGTCAGCACCTTTTTCTCTCTCGAGGTTTTACTCACATCCGGTACAGGTAGATCCTCAATAAATATGTGTTAAATAACCAAATAAATTGAACGAATATTTATAGGCCTCTTTCTATGCACTTGACACTGCTCTAGGCACTGGGGATACATCAGCGAACATAACAAACAAAAATCACTACTCGATGAGGGAAAGACAGATACTAAGCAAAGGAGTGAATAGTTGGTCAACGTGGTGAAACCCCATCTCTACTAAAAATACAAAAAATTAGCCTGGCATGGTGGTGCGCACCTGTAATTTCAGCTGCTTGGGAGGCTGAGGCATGAGAATTGCTTGAACCTGGGAGGCAGAGGTTGCAGTGAGCAGAGATTGTGCCACTGCACTCCAGCCTGGGTGACAGAGTGAGACTCCATCTCAAAAAAGGCATACACACACACACACACACACACACACACACACACACACACACACACAGTGAGTAGTGAGTTAGGATCTCAGGAAGAGATGCACAGTGATGGTGGGGTAGAGGGGCAGCTCTCAGCCCAGGTGAGGCCTGTCTGACAAGGTGAGACCTGAATGAAGTAAAGGAGCAAGTCATGGGGATGTCTAGGAGAAACATATTCCAGGAAGAATCACAAAGGTCCTGGGGCAGAGACATGTTGGTCAATTTGGAGCTGCATGGCGCCTGTGTGGCTGGTGTGGAGGCAGTGAGGGCTAAATCAGAGGGCAGGTAGGGGGTAAGTGGTGCAAAGGCTTGGGGTCTGTACTGAATATCTCACCCTTTGCTTCAAATGCAATGGAAGCCATGGAAGGGTTTTGAGCCGAGGGGTGGCACGGATAAATGAATGAGGTTACACAACATGAGAGCAGGGAAGCTGTGATAGAAACTGGGCTCTCTGAGTGCATACCTGCCATTGCTGAGTCTGTCCCTAGCCACATGCTTTTCCTGTGTATTTTATCATCAAAGTGAGGCCTTCCCCTTTCGTGGAAGCCTGGTTGTGGAGGCTCTGCCCTGACCTGGTGGCAGGGTCTGTTTGGTTTTGTTTTTCCTGTTTATTTGGAGACTTGATGCCCACCCTTGGACCCAACGACCCATACGCTGGTGACATGCACTGTCTTCCGGCTGATCCCACACGGGGCCCGGGTTGCATCAGCACAGCCTTCCTCAGGCGGCAGCATTTGTTCCCTCCCTGAGTTTGACACCCTGCAGCCTGGCACGGTGCCAGGTGTGAGTAAATTGGACCCAGGGTTCCTGTTGTTTCTGTTCACACAGCAGCTGCTTTCTTCACTGCACCATGAACCTAATCTCCCAGCATTGTCAGTCGCCCTCTCTTCTCAGGTGCCAAGGGGAGACGAAACTGGCTAGTCTCTGCAGGAAGCAGAGCCGTCTCCTAAGTGCCCACCCGGCTCCTTGTGTGCTAATTACCAGACAGTGGACTGAACCTTTTGCATATTTTATTAGTGAGGACTCTTAAGTTTCAAGTGATTGGAAACCCAGTGGGTTTAAATCAAGAAGATTAATTTATGGCCCATGTCTCCAAAAAGCCAGGGAGGCCTTGGCGTTGCCAAGTTGGACCCAAGGACTCCAATGACTCATCAGAATTAGGTCTTATTCTTTCCATCTCTGCTTTCTTCTGGAAACCTCTATTCTCAGGACCTAGCAAGATGCCAAAATAAGATTACATCCTAATATCTCAATAAGCCCAGATTTACTTTTTAACATTTCTCACAGACATCTCAGAATTGAGTCTCCATGCCCAGTCCTAAGATAGTCGCTTTGCCCAGGGAATGCAGTTCTCTGATCTGCCAGTTCTGGGTCACCCATTCAGCCCTGGAGCCAGCCTAGGAGTCAGCCCACGTGACCCTCCAGGACCAATGACATAAAGGGAGCAATTTCCCAAGGAAGACTAGGGTTAAATTACTGGATGCTGCATAGGCTAATACAACGGATGCCAAGTCACACACTCACTCTTTTCATTAATCCTCAGAGAACCTGGTGGCCTAGTAATTATCCCATGCTGCCGATGAAGAAGGTAAGGACCAGAGAAGTTAGGTCGGCCAAAAATATGCAGCTGGTAAGTGACAGAGCCAGGATTTGAATACGGATTTGCCTTTCTGCAAAATCCATACTCAAGAGTCTCCTTAGACTTGAGAGAGAGAAAAGTGTTAAAACAGAATCGAGATGATCCTTGATACCCACTGCCTAAAGCAGCCCTCCTGGCATGAGCTCATTCCTTATTCTACCTTCTTTGAAGCATTTTAGTTGAATTGGGAGTCTGTTTTCCAGGAAATCTGATTATGGTGGCAAGTCACTCCCCAGCAAGAACAGAGAGGAGCATTCTGAAATTTTCCTGGAAAGAAATATGCCTCTCCTACATTGCAGCATATTACTCAAATGTGGGGAAAAAAACATATGCCCATGACATTCTCTTATATAAATGTGTGGGGGCATGTTTTTAAAGCATATATATTAATATCTTCTGTGTGTATGTATATAAATATAGATATTTATCCCTCTGCTGGATTCATAAGCATTGAATGATTCAAACATTAATTACAATCTCCTTGGTGAGGGAAAATATTTTTCCTTCTATCATGCTCATTTTAGGATCATCTGAAGTACATCTTTTTAGAAGGTACTGATTCATCTGGCAACATGATGTTCTTTAATTGTGAGATTGTATACACATTTTGGCTTTACTTTTTCTGAACCTTCTCTCTTGATTTTTATTATTAACTGTAATAAATCACTTCAATGAGCTAGGCATATACATACATATATATATATATATATATATATATACACACTGCTATTATATATCATCTCAATAAATTCTGACAATGCTTTGAAGGAGATACTACTATTATTATTATTATTACGGATGAGGAAAGTGAGTTTAAACAGTTTGCCTAATGAAACATGAAGAACATGGGGAATGATGGAACTGGGACTCAGATTTGGGTCTCTTTTACTTTAGAACAGAGTTTCTCAACCTCAGAATAACTGACATTTATCCATGCTATTAACTATGACACCATTATGGAAGAAGAGAAGAAAAAAAAAACTGGAATTCCAAGTTTCCAAGGCTACCAAGGAGGCTAAAACATCTACTGGAGGTTTAGTGGAAAATTTGCAGAAATCTATCATTGTTATAGGTGCATACCTTTTGATCCAGCAATTCCACTAGAAATGCTGGCACACATGTGCAAGGATGTAAATATAAAAAATATTCAATGCAGTATTGTTTATAGTAGGGAAAGCTGGAAATAATTAAATGTCCATCACTAAGAAGTCAGTTAAATAAATTACAGTGCATGACTCCAATGGACTACAGTCCCTGTTTCCTTAAAAGAAACAGGCAGAACCTCTAAATACAGGCATATGGACAGATAAATAAGAAATATTTTAATTTTTTTAAGTTGGCAAAGTATAGCATAGCTTCAGTTTTGGGGGAAAAAAGTTAGCATCTGTGTCTGCATGGAGATGGGATAAAGGTGAATGTGTATTTGATTATGCATAGAAAATTGCTGGAAAATTATAAACTAAACTGGTAACAGTGGTTACGTCGGGGAATTTTTTATGCTAGGGAAGGGATGTTCAATTATAATTTATACTCTTTATTTATACTGTTCTCAACAGGAGGTGGTTTTGCCCCTCAGGGGACATTTGGTAATGTCTGGACACATTTTAATTGTCACAACTCAAGGAGTGGGGGTTGTTATTGGCATCTATTAGGTAGAGACCAGCAATACTCCTAAATGTTATCAATTGCACAGAATAGACCTCACAGTATAGGATTATCCTGCCCAAAATGCCAACAGCACCAAGATTGAGAAACTCTATTTGAAACCCTAAGTATCTGAGTTTATTATAATAAGCATTCATTCCTTTTGCACTTTAAAAAATATGCATGTGAAATACAGTCTCCATTGTGATACTTGAGTGGAACTATTGCTGCTGGTGCCTTCATAGATAAAATCAAAGTCACAACTTTAATACTTTTGCCATATGAACATAATATACTTTTTCTTCCATTACCAGAACAATTTTTTCATTTGAATGCAAGATTTCTATATATTTATCTTTCAGAAGAATTTACCATCATCTTAAAGATAGGCAATCTTATAATAGATGTACCATCTCACAGATTTAAAAAAAAACAAAACTGATACCTGGGGAAGTTAATTGTTTTTGTGGACAATCAATGCCAGCTAGAACCTTGGTAAACAAATTTCATAGTTTCTGGAAATATTACATTGCTTAATCTCCAATATCTGTACTTTGCTTGAGACTGAAAGAAAAAGCACCGAGCTGTATCTCCAGTTCTTTCATTGGGATAGGAAGTAAGTTTCCTAAGTAATCCTTCATCCTCTATGAAAGAGTTATGTGCTCCATCATTTTTGTCCTCCAGACAGAAATACTTCTTTCTCACAGGACAATCACATTTCAATTTGGAGATACAGGGTGAGCATCCCTTACTTGAAATGCTTAGGAACAGAAGTATTTCTGATTTTGGATTTTTTTCAGATTTTGGAATACATGCGAAGAGCATCCCTGATTCATATATTTGGCACGTGTGATGCTCCAACAAGCCTTGCCTTTGAGCATCCTATCAGCATTCAAAGTTTCAGATTTTGGAGGCTTTTGGATTTCAGATTTTTAGGTTAGGGATGCACAACCTGTGATACATCTCCTCTGTCATATTCTGCTCTGTAGAGCAGACATGGTGTGTTGGGTTTTGACATCAACATTCTGAGTGCAAGACAATACTGAGTGTGACTAGTGTGGAGTGAGCTTCGAGTGAAGTTTCTAATGAGGAGGAAAGATCTGCTGTAAAATCTGTCAGGGTCCTCATGACACCAGTAGCTCTCACTTAGCAAGACACTAACTACAGTCATCGGCATGTCAGTGGCTCCAGGACAGAAGGAAGTTGCTGAGCCCAGGACCAAGCCTTGAAGGGGCCTGTCTTAAGCACCCTCTTCCCCAACTCTGAAGTGTAAGCCACAGAGTTCTTGGGCCCCAGCCCCAGTTCCCAACCTTTAAGGATGCAGACGGCGCTGCTTATGTGTTTTTGGGGGTTTGCTTTCTTTGTTTTTAGAGATAGGGTCTCACTCTGTTGCCCAAGCTGGAGTGCAGGGATGCAATCATAGTTCATTGTAGCCCTGAACCCCTAGGTTCATGTGATCCTCCTACCTCAGCCTCCTGAGTGGCTGGGACTACAGCTGCATGTGACCATGCCTGGCTAATGTTTTGAAAATTTTTATAGAAATGCAGTCTCACTTTGTTGCCCAGGCTGGTCTCAAACTCCCGACCTCAAGTGATCCTGCCAGAGTGCTGGGATTACAGATGCAAACCACTGCATGCAGCCCTTTATTTTTAAAAAATTAAGTCTTGTACTTGTCAGGTTGAGATAGGTTATGTGGTGACAAAGAACAATCCCCAAATCTCAATAGCTTAAAGCAACAAAGATGTATTTCTCACTCACACTCCATGCTCCTAGTGGGTTAGCTGGGAGCTCCTTCTGGGACTCAAGATGACTAGAGCAGCCACCATCTGGCACCAGCATGTCCTGCCTCTGTGACAGGCGAAGAGCACAGCGGGTCATACCCTGACTTTCACAGTGACACCCTCACCTCTGGTCACATTTCTCTCAACCTTACATGACTTCAAAAGGGCGGGAAAGTGCAGACAGAAAATGCTCACGAGAATCCAAAAGGAGAAGAGACCCAGGATATTTATAAGTGGTTCTAGTGATGTCCACAGTCCACTGGTCGTTGGTGTAAAAATCATGTGCACGTCTGAATTCCTGGATCCTTTTGAGAAATCACAGGATCTTGGGACAATATATAGGGTGTAGGGAAGAGAGCACTCACGAATAGTGATTCCATTTAGATGAGACATTTCCCCCTACCCCCAGTTCCCAGGCTCTACTTATCCTGATTCATTCACCTAAGGAGTCAGCTTAGTCCCTGTAGGAATTTGGATTGGCAACTCTTGAACTAAAGTGGTAACAGTTCAGCCATGGAGTCAGAAACCTGGCTTCGAATCTGGAAGCCACCCTTATGGCTGAGTGGATTTGAATGTGTGCACCTCAGCTACTCTGCCTATGAGTAGTAACCCCAGAGGGATGTGGTAAAGCGTAAGTGAGAAAATCCATATAAAGCGCTTAAATGAGTGCCTAGGACAGAGACAACACAACTGCTCCATCATCATCTTTCCAAAGCGCCACTC